GTGGTGAGGGGCGTGTAGTGTGTGAGAGGCGTATAGTGCTGGGCTCACATCATGCACCCATGGATGTTATATGGTACCCGTCCCTCCGCTGCACCACCAGATTGGTAAGTCCTACCTACCATGATCGACCCCCTCCAACCATGACTGACCCGCCCTACCATGATTGACCCCCTCCAACCATGACTGACCCGCCCTGTATTGACCCCTCAACTATGACTGACCCGCCCTACCATGATTGACCCCCTCCAACAATGTTCCCGCCCCACTGAGGCGACTCCTACTATGATTGCCCCTCCTACATGATTGACCGTCTCCTACTATGATTGACCCCTCCTACCACAGTTGACCGCTCCTACTGATTGACCCCCTCCTACCATGATTGACCGACTCCTACTATGATTGACCCTCCTACCACGGTTGACCGACTCCTACTATGATTGACCCCTCCTACCATGATTGAGATCGTCTCCTACTATGATTGACCCCCTCCTACATGATTGAACCGCTCCTACTATGATTGACCCCCTCCTACCATGACCCCTCCTACTATGATTGACCTCTCTCCCTACTATGATTGACCCCTCCTACCATGATTGAACCGACTCCTACTATGATTGGCCGCTCCTACTATGATTGACCCCTCCTACCATGATTGACCCTCCTACCATGATTGACCGACTCCTACCATGATTGACCGTCTCCTACTATGATTGACCTCCTACCATGATTGACCGACTCCTACTATGATTGACCGGCTCTACTCAGTTGGCCCTCCTACCATGATTGACCGGCTCCTACCATGATTGACCCTCTCCTACCGTGATTGACCGACTCCTACATGATTGACCCCTCTACGATTGACCGTCTCCTGCGTTGACCCCTCCTACAGATTGAACCGGCTCCTACTATGATTGACCGACTCCTACTATGATTGACCCCTCCTACCATGATTGACCGTCTCCTACTATGATTGGCCCCTCCTACCGTGATTGACCGACTCCTACCATGATTGACCGCTCCTACTATGATTGACCTCCTACCATGATTGACCGTCTCCTACATGATTGACCCCTCCTACCCAGTTGACCCCTCCTACCATGATTGACCGACTCCTACTACGAGTTGACCCCTCCTACCATGATTGACACTCCTACCATGATTGACCGTCTCCTACTATGATTGACCCCCTCTTGCCATGATTGGACAAAGCTCCTACTATGATTGACTGACTCCCTACTCAATTGACCCCTCCTACTTGATTGACCGGCTCCTACCAGATTGACCGACTCCTACTACGAGTTGACCCCCTCCTATGATTGACTCCCTCTTGCCATGATTGATCGACTCCTACCATGATTGACCGACTCACCATGATTGACCCCTCCTACTATGATTGATCGCTCCTACTGCAGTTGACCGACTCCTACCATGATTGACCCTCCTACTATGATTGACCGACCACCATGATTGACCGGCTCCTACAGCTGACCCGCCCTACCATGACTGACCCCTCCAACCATGCCTAGCCCCCCCTCCATACTGCTTCCTACTATGACCCCAGCCCCTTCTCTGCCTGACTGACCCCTCCAACCATGACTGACCCCTCCTCCATGACAGACCCCCTTCAACACATCATTTTACCCCCCTTACCATGACTGACCCCCCCACCATAACTGACTCCCTCCTACCATGATTCCTACTATGAGTGACCTCTACCATTAAGTCTCCATAATGGTTTCATGGTACGGTACACCTTCCTACCATACCCTTACCCCCTCCCTACCATTAGTATAAGGGTATATCCACAAATATACCCACAAATATATATATAATGTGTGTGTGTGACTCTTATCGCATATACGGTATACCTATATAACTACTCGACAGATAAACATACAGGTATATATATATGTTAGTCAGGTATATATGTAAGGTATATGCAGGTATATTCTACAGGTATATATTGGTATAATTAGGAGAAGGTTGTGGTATATTTTGGTGGTATATTGTGTGTTGTTATGGTATATTAATCTTGGTATATGTATAATGATGTTATACTCTCTCTCTCTCTCTCTCTTTTCTCTCTCTCTCTCTCTCTCTCTCTCTCTCAGATGCCTTTGATATTATAATTGTATTGAGTGAGTGAGTGAGTAGGCTACCTGGTTCTCTCTGGGGTAAGAGGGAGGAGGGGTAGAGTAGGGGAGAAAGAGAGAGGAAGAGAATGAGGGGAGAGAAAGATAGAAAGAGAGAGAAAGGTGCAGAGTGAGAGAGAGGGGTAGGAAGTGAGAGGTGAAAATGAGTAAGAGGGAGGGAGAGGGAGTGTGTGTTGTGAGAGCAAGACAAACATGGGGAGAGAAGGGGAGGCGCAGTGAACGAGGCCAGGGCTGACGTCACTATTGATGGCCAGGAAATTGGTAGTGACGTCATCAAATATATATGGGTGACGTCATCAAAAATACGAGTGTAAACATAATTCAGTCTAATAGGTGGTGACGTCATCAACTATACGGGTGTAAATCTCTCTCTCTCTCTCTCTCTCGGTAGAAATGAATAATTATTGTATAAGGTCAGCTGTAGGATGTCTGTATGTACATGTACGGCGTTCAAGACCTCTACAGTGCCACCAAGACTTCTACAGTGCCACCAAGACCTCTACAGTGCCACCAAGACCTCTACAGTGCCACCAAGACGTCTACAGTGCCACAAGACCACTACAGTGCCACCAAGACCTCTACAGTGCCACCAAGACCTCTACAGTGCCACCAAGACCTCACAGTGCCTCCAAGACCCCTACAGTGCCACCAAGACCTCACAGTGCCACCAAGACCTCACAGTGCCACCAAGACCTCTACAGTGCCACCACATCCCCAAGAGCCACCAAGACCCCACAGTGCCACCAAGACCCCTAAGTGCCAACCTACAGTGCCACCAAGACCTCCACAGTGCCACCAAGACCTCACAGTGCCACCAGACTTCTACAGTGCCTCCAAGACCTCCACAGTGCCACCAAGACCCTACAGTGCCACCAAGACTCTACAGTGCCACCAAGACTCCACAGTGCCACCAAGACCTCCAGTGCCACCAAGACCCCTACAGGCCACTTCACAGGCCACAAGACAGTCAGACTCACAGTGCCCGTGGGGCACAGTGCAAGACCCCAGTGCCACCAAGACTCTGCAGTGCCACCAAGACCCCTGCAGTGCCTCCAAGACCCTACAGTGCCACCAAGACCTCTACAGCGCCACTAAGACCTACAGTACCAAGACTTCACAGTGCCACCAAGACCCACAGTGCCATCAAGACCTCTACAGTGCCAAGATTCGGAAGATAAGAAAGACACAGTGCACACGCCACTAAGACACGCGATAAGACCTGATAGTACCACCAGACCTCACAGTGCCACCAAGATCTATAGTGCACCAAGACCCTAGATCAAACTCAGTCCAAGACACTACAGTGCCACAAGATTTACAGACCAAGACCTCTACAGTGCCACCGTATCCAACATGTGTTAAGGAAGAGACCAGTTAAGGGTTAATAATTACGACCCAATATTGATATTGTTGGCCTGACTTGGCTTGGCTTGGCTTTGCTTGACTTGGCTTGTTTACTCTGGCACTCGCCCTCGTCTGAGTGGGTTTTACACAAAGTGGTGGATATCTACGCTATTTGGCAGTCTTGTTTTGAGTCGTGATAGGCCTGTGCTTCTAGGTCTAATTATTATTCCTATTTTTTTACATCTAGTGATAATTTAACGTATGCTCTTCGCCTATTTTGCTGTTTCCTCCATGTAGTAAATATTTTTTGTTATAGGCCTAGTTTAATATATTATATATGATATAGTTTTATCTACTGCTTAGGCCTAGATTTTTATATAACTTCCATATATGCTGGCCTTTTGTGTTAAGAGGCTCATCCCGATATACTGAAATAGATACATTCCATTCAATGTATTCTTTTTCGTATTCTCAACTGATATAGCCCCCCCCTCTCGCCAATATAGTAGAATTTTACCGAGTGCTATAGGCTTAGCTACTTTATTACTTCCATATAATATAGTTTTATCTACTGCTATAGGTCTAGTTTTTATATATCTTCCATATAGTAGAATTTTACCGTGTGCTATAGGCCTAGTTCAATATATTACCTGCATATAATAAAATTGTACCTGGTTATTTAGGCCTACTTGTACACGTCACTTGGATATAGTCAAACATTCCCTCTGGATAATTGAAAGTCTTGTAAAAGCTATCCAAACTTCTACTTGATTGAAATTTACCTCTATGGGGGCACCTAGGCCTAATTTTATAGGCTCTGTAAAGTATACATTGAATTTGTTTACTTTTGATCATAACAAAGGCCTATTTCTTATGTAATTTAACTATTTATAATATTTCTAGCTATGCGGGAAAATTTTTAGGCCTAGTTTGGGTAAGAATTATATAGGCCTGTAAAGTGTATATTTCAAGTGTATATATTTATCTCCCAAGTGTATCTTATAAAAAATCCAAGTGTATTGAGTATTTTGTAAGTGTATTTTTGTAAGTATTTTAAGGTCTATCCCAGGTATATTTTTTCACCTGTATTTTTTTATATAATTTGGTGATGTATTTTTGTTTAATTGTATTTGTTTAATGTATGTGTATTATTCTTACTGTTTAACTCAGGTATTTTTTGTTAGTGAGATGAGGTGTTTATTATTGTATTTGTTTGTTTGTTTAGGTCAGGTAATTATTATTTGTTTGTTTGTTTAGGTCAGGTAATTATTCTTTGTTTGTTTAGGTCAGGTAATTATTCTTGCTTGTTTAGGTCAGGTAATTATTCTTGCTTGTTTAGGTCAGGTAATTATTGTTTGTTTGTTTGTTTAGGTCAGGTAATTATTGTTTGTTCTTTGTTATTGAGGTCACATATTTAAGATATGTTTGTTTGTTTAGATCAGGTAATACTTGTTTGTTTGTTGGGTCAGATATTAATTGTTTTCTCTTGTTTCTTATTTACAGAAACCAGAGGAGAAATATGCACGCTTCAAGGGCCTTACCAACGTCATTATGAAGAAGGTAAGTCTGTCTGTCTGTGTGTCTGTCTGTTTGTCTGTCTTCAAGATCTCGACACATGCTGGTGACGTATTCTCGGGGTATTAGGAACAACCGGTAGTTAAGGTGGTAATTTAACCGGACGTAGATAAATTGTTAACCTATCTTGATTTAACTTAACTCAACCTTATCTAACCTAACTTAATCTAAACTAACCTAATCATATCTAATATAATCTAACCTTATCCCATCTAACTTAACCTAATCTAACCTAACCTAACGTAATGTAACCTAATCTAACCTAACGTAACCTAATCCAATCTAATCTAACCTAATCTAATCCCATCTAACCTAACCAAACCTAACTTAACCAAACCTAAGCTAACCAAACCTAAGCTAACCAAACCTGCAACCAAACCTAAGCTAACCAAACCTAACCTAACCAATCCTAACTAACCTGCTAACCAAACCTAACCTAACCTAACCTAACCTAACCTAACCTAACCTAACCTACTATAAACCTCCCTAATCTCCCGCCCAACATTGATTTCATTTCTCTTGCTGTGTTTTCTAGTTCACCTTTCACCTTGTATTTTTTATTTAACTTTTTTAAGTTTTTATTCACAACCAAAGTATTTTCCATCCGTTTTAGGGGTCAGAGTTTTTAATATTTTTTATTTGTATTTTTTATTTTGTTTCGTTTTTATTCCAACTTTGATTCGCGTTTGTTTTCGATTCACTTTTTCGATTCGCGTTTGTTTTCGATTCGTTTTTGTTTCAATTCACTTATGTTTTCGATTAGCTTTTGTTTTCGATTCACTTATGTTTTCGATTCACTTTTGTTTTCGATTCGTTTTTGTTTCAATTCACTTATGTTTTCGATTAGCTTTTGTTTTCGATTCACTTTTGTTTTCGATTCGTTTTTGTTTCGATTCACTTATGTTTTCGATTAGCTTTTGTTTTCGATTCACTTTTGTTTTCGATTAGCTTTTGTTTTCGTTTCGTTTTTTATTTCAATTCACTTATGTTTTCAATTCACTTATGTTTCCTTTGTTATGATACGTGTGGCGGCCATCTTAGTGTATTTATTTTCTCTATTGACTTTTTTCTTTTTATCTTATAGTTTTTGTCTTTAATTTTTATTTTATTCTGATTATTTTAGCGTTTTTTGTCCTTTAAACTCCTGGAAGAATTAAGCATCACAGTTAAATATTTTTCACGTCTGTTTCCAAGAGTTAATTTATTCTTATCAGTCAAAGGGAATTATTTCGGAAAACGTTTCAAACCCCCACATTTGTAGACTTTCCCGTCACTTTTAATTATCGTGTTTTCTTTGCCAGTATTCTCTTAATTATCCATTCTCTCACATTCTCTTTACTTTTGTTTTTTTGGTTTTGGGATATTTTTGTCTTTATTCCTTTTGTGGTTTTTCCTTCCTCTCTTCTTCCCTCCTTCCTTCGTCTCTTCTCTTCCATCATCATCATCATCTCTCACTATCTTCTTTCGTTCCTTTATCTTCTTCACCTCTTTCCTCCACCTCCTCCTTCAGAACAGACCCCGGCACTAGGAGTTATTATAGGCGGTGCGATAAACCACCCGCCCTTGAGTGGCACTTGAGGGTTACTTATGGTCCAGCCTGCCCTTAAGCGTGGCCAAGTCGTGACCCAGTACCATGCAGGCTGTGACTTGAGTGTTTATGTGGTGGTAATGTCTGTCTGTCTGTCTGTCTGTCCGTCCTTCGTATGTATGTATGTATTGTATGTATCTATCTATCTATCTATCTATCTATCTATTTATCTATCTATCTATCTCCTCCACTTTTACTCTTCCTCCTCTCCTATCACTCCTCCCTTCCCCCTCCCCTACCTCTTTTTCCAGCTCACCCTCAATCCTCCTTTTCGCCACCAACCCCTTATCCCCTTTCCCTACTCCCCATCCCTCCCCTTATCCCTTTTCTCCCCCTCTTATCCCTCCCTCACCTCCTCCTCCCCCTTTCTCCCACCCACCTCACCCCCCCCCCCCCTTGATGACTATAGCTCTGGGGTGATATTAATATAACACCCCTGTAAGGTCATTTCCTGTCTATGGTGTTGGCAGGTAGGGATGTTGGAAGGTGTTGGCAGGTGGTAGTGGATAAGGTGTTGGCAGGTGGTGTGGATGTTGGGGTGTTGGCAGGTGGTAGTGGGTGTTGGAAGGTGTTGGCAGGTGGTAGTGGTGTTGGTAGGGAAAGGTGTTGGCAGGTGGTAGTGATGTTGGAAGGTAGTGGTGGGTGGATGTTGGAAGGTGTTGGCAGGTGGTAGTGGATGTTGAAGGTGTTGGCAGGTGGTAGTGGGATGTTGGGAAGTGTGTTGCAGGTGGATGGAAGGCAGGTGGTAGGAAGGTGCAGGAGTGGATGTTGGTGTTGTCAGGTGGTAGTGGATGGAAGGTGTTGGCAGGTGGTAGTGTGTTAGTATGTTGTCAGGTGGTAGTGGATGTTGGAAGGTGTTGGCAGGTGTAGTGATGTTGGAAGGTAGTGGTGTTGGAATGTGTTAGGTGGTAGTGGGTGTTGGAAGGTGTTGGCAGGTGGTAGGGTGTTGAAGGTGTTGAGGTGGTAGAGGGATGCTGAAGGTGTCATGTATGGTGTTGAATATGTGATATATGTTGGACAGGGTGGTAGGATGTAAGGTGTTGCAGGTAGTGATGTTGGAAGGTGTTGGCAGGTGGTAGTAAGTGTTGGCAGGTGGTAGGATGTTGAAGGTGTATGGTGGTAGGATGTTGGAGGTGTTCGTGGTAGTGGATGTTGAAGGTGTTGTCAGGTGGTAGTGGATGTTGGAAGGTGTTGTCAGGTGGTGGATGTTGAAGGGTTCGACTCTGGATGTTGGAAGGTGTTGTCAGACGGTACTGGATGTTGGAAGGTTGTCGTGTGTTGGAAAATGATGTATGTTGTGAGATGACAGGTGTTGTCTGATGGCACTTGATGTTGGAAGGTGTTGGCAGAGAGTTACGTAAGCTATTGTAAGATACCAGGTTGTTTCAAGCTGTTGTCAGAAGGTAGGCCACTAGATGTTGGAAAGTGTTGTCAATTATTTCCAGGTATTGCAATATATAATGTTGGCAGAGGTTGTCAGGTTGCAACGGACGTAAAGTGGGCATATATTGCAAGGAATTAATTGTTGGCACTAGATGTCAGAAGTTGCAAATTGTTGTCAAATGTTGCAGAGGCTGCTTGCAAATGTCGGGAGATTAAGAGTTGTAGTGATTCCCGGGATCTTGTTGCTAGCATTGCAGGGTGGTGCAAGTATTACAGGGTGGTGCAGGTGTTAGTGTAGGTGGTGCTAGTGTAGGGTGGTGCTAGGTGTAGGGTGGTGCTATGTAGGTGGTGCTAGTTACAGGTGTGTTATTACAGGTGGTGCTAGTTAGTGTAGGTGGTGCTAGTTAGTGTAGGGTGGTGCTAGTTAGTAGGGTGGTGCTAGTTAGTGTAGGGTGGTGCTAGTTAGTGTAGGGTGGCAAGTTACTAGTAGGTGTTATATATTACAGGGTGCTAGTTAGTAGGGTGTATTATTAGTGTAGGGTGTTAATAGTGTAGGGTGGTGTTAGTTAGTGGTGGTATATTATATATGTTATTATCAGTTTATATGATATTTATTGTAGGGTGGTGCTAGTTAGTGTAGGTGCTAGTTATTGGGCAGGTTATTTACTGCGTTATCACTAGTTATTGTAGAACGGTGCCAGTTATCGAATATGTTGTGTTCCATGATGATACCAGTTATTGCAGGATGTTGCTATTGCGCAGTAACCTTAATTATGGCGTTAGTTGCATTTATTGCAAGATGTTGGTATACGGCAGGTTGTTATGTATAATAGAAAATTAAATTAGAACTCTGACCAATGGCAGAGTCATGATTAAGCAGGTCAGATTCGAGGTCACTAAGGGCCGACCAATGGCAGAGAGTCAGGATTTGGCGGGTCAGATTAGAGGTCACTATGGGCCAATGGCAGAGTCAGGATTTAGGTCAGATTAGAGGTCACTAAGGGTCGACCAATGGCAGTCATTATTGACAGGTCAGAACAGGGTCACTAAAGGCCGACCAATGGCAGAGCCAGGATTTAATGGTCAAGCCTCAGGGTCACTAAGAAATTAAGTCAGATTCAGGGTCACTTGGATAACTTGAGCATGGTTCTAGGGAGTGCCACATACTCCCTTTAGGTGCATAATGGTTGGCACTACACTGTTCTTTCTGGGAGCAGTAAAAGTGGCTGTTTAACCTTATTGGTTTATTTCAGTCCCCTCCTTGTTATCTCGTTTTCTTTTTGGTTTAGTTTTCCCGTTTTCGTTTTAACACTGCTTTAACGTAACCCAAATCTTTTACCTATAATATATATATCTTAACCTGTTACTCCTACTACCCTACCCTGTTACCCTACCTTTACCCCTCCCTCCCCCAGGTACCGCTATAGTGTATTAATCCCCATACTAAGAAGTTGACGGCAGGTAGAGCTGATGTTCAGGTGATACAGCCAAATAAACATCTTGGTCACGCTGCCTTTTACACTTCTGTTCTTCATCGCATTGTTTACGTTGTGTGTGTTTACGTCTTTTTTCCTGTTATGTACGTCTTTTTCCTGTTGTGTACGTCTTTTTTCTCCTGTTGTGTACGTCTTTTTTTCCTGTTATGTACGTCTTTTTCCTGTTGTGTATGTCTTTTTCCTGTTGGTACATCTTTTTCTGTTATGTACGTCTTTTTCCTGTTATGTACGTCTTTTTTTTCCCTGTTATGCACGTCTTTTTCCTGTTATGTACGTCCTTTTTCCTGTTATGTACGTCTTTTTCCCTGTTATGTACGTCTTTTTTCCTGTTATATAAGGTCTTTTTCCGTTATGTATGCCTTTTTTCCTGTTGTGTACGTCTTTTTTCCTGTTGTGTACGTCTTTTTTCCTGTTATGTATCGTCTTTTTCCTGTTATGTACTGCCTTTTTTCTGTTATGTACGTCTTTTTTCCTGTTATGTAATGTCTTTTCCTGTTGTGTACGTCTTTTTCCTTGTTATGTACGTC